CCTATTGAAATGCTTATGTTTATTATTATTATTATTATTTTTCCGTTACCGCCTTTTGAACCGAAAGACTTTTCGAAGAACTCTATAGTTCATGATACTCGACATCAAAAGTTGTTTCGAAAAACTACCCAACGAGTATGACCTATGACCCCTTTCGGAGTTCTTGCCCTTTGAACGAAAAACCTTGTTATCGCTACTCCTTCGAAATCATAAACCGCAGAGGTTCGAAACCATTACCAATGTTTTTGACTACTTGAGAGGACTTTTCAATCTTTTCATTGCGAAATGATTTGTCGAGCCCTTTAATAAGTTATCGCCTCTGAGATTTTTTGGTGTTTACGAATAATGAAAAATTTTCTTAACGATAAGTCGTAAAGAAATAGGACCAACTGCATAAGATTCTTTGACCTTAAACCTTGAAGTTAAGGTCAAGGTCAAAGGTCAAGGTCATTCAAAATATAAGAAAATTAGCTCTTTTTATAGCTCTTTTGTCTTTCAACATATACTACATATCTTTGCATCTTTCATTTGTCCTTCTAAAACTATTTTAAAGATTTCATTCTTGTCCCCCAAGCTTGACCCATTCAAAAGTTGTCACCCCTTTCGCAATAAAACCTTGTTATCGCTACTCCTCTGAAACCGTAAAGCGTAGAGATTCCAAACCCTCATCAGTGTCTTCGACTCATTTAGTACACTCTTCAATCTATACAGTGCGAAAGGGTTCTTCGGCCCCTTCTATGAGTTACTGTCCCTGAAAGTTTTTGCTGCTTACATTTAATGAACTTTTTTTCAAAGGGTCTATCCTAGAGACATGGAACCAACTGCATGGGCATGTTTGACCTTTGACCTTGAAATGAAGGTCAAGGTCAAAGGTCAAGGTCATTGAAAACTATATAAATTGTTGATATCAGCTATTTATCTAAATGACCTTGAACTTTGACCTTGAACGTTGACCTTTAACCTTTGACCTTGACACTGACTCAAAGGTAAAACAAAAAATCAGAACATGCATCTAGATTCATGTACATTTCAGTGTTGAACTCAGTTTAAAGCAAAGTTCTTTTTTTCTTTTTTCTTTTTTTTTTAATGACCTTGACCTTTGACCTTTGACCTAAAGGTCACAATCAAGATTAAGTTCGTGGAGTTTGCTGCAACTGTTACTTTAAAATATGTTAGGAATAAATAAATAAATAATTCACCCCCCCCCCTTTAAAAAAAAATCAATAGCAACGTAGAAAATGTCTCTAAAACTCATACAACACCTCGGATCGACATAAGATTTTAAGCAACCGCAGGAAAGACTTCAAAAAAAAAAAAAAAAAAAAAAAAGAAAGAAAAAATTTCCTGAAAGTTTTACGGTGAGTCTCTGAAGTGTAACGAAATTATGAATTTTATCGACAAATACTACATTTTTTTTAATCTGAAATTTAGGTGCTGATGAGCATAAAAATGAATTTAAGCTTTTATCGGCTATTTCTTCAGTTGTTATTAATAGCATTCGATTCTCCTGCTCTAATACAATATTTTAATACCAAGCATTCTTGATTTCTTTAGTATGTGGAATTTATTTCAATTTTATTTAGATTTAATATTAATGGAAAGAATCTCGAAAATAGCGATTTTTCCTATCAAATAAATTTCCACGCTCTCATTGACACCTTTTTTTCTTCCTGAAATGCATGTCTGAAATTTTAATTTATGCTAGTTACATTTAACTCAACCCACATAGAGATGTTTATTTAATCTTACCTATTATTTTGAATCGCCATATTCGGTCAAACCGAACGCGACATTTTTCATAAATTCGTAAACAAAGTCTCGGCACGGCAGTTCTAATGTATCCTAGGCTCTAGATGATTAACTCCATTTATTCAAAGTATAAACCAACTCAAATTTATTATATTTACAGAAAATCTGCTTTTTATTATACACCAATCGTGTTTCTCAAAACTATTTATTACTGATTACTACATTGGACAACAAACAAAAGGACACGTGCTCTTATATTCCTATTTATTCCTAAACAATATATTTACTACCTACATCTTCATCGGAGTGCGTGGCCTAAGGGTTAGCGCACCTGCCTTTCAATCCAAGGGTTTTGAGTTCGAGCCCAGCTGGAGGAGCATTTTTTTTTTTTTTTTTGGAGGGGGGGGGGCATTTTTCTTCTTTATTACAACCCAAATCTCACGGAAACACTTAAAAAGGTGGAAAGGCCTCTAATTGTTCTCTGAACAATTAGTCTCCTAGTTGATATATGTTTCTGGTGTCAAGTTGTAATAATGGGCAAAGTTTCATCAAAATCGGTGACCATGCGTGACAAAGAAGTTTAAGTGGTTACAGAGAATCGCTATTAAATACCAAACCCATGACGTCATAACTATTGATCAAATATTTGCCGAGTGAAATTAAAGGTGACGAGAATTCATGTAAACAAATATATGAAATGGGATTTTTAAGGCATATAGCGTGAATGTTATGTGTGATTCATAAGGAATTAAAGATTAAGAACGAGGTACGCTGATATATTCTTATCATGTTTTCTTCTAATGAACACTGTCAGTGCTTTGAAATCCCGATCAGCCGTTCCTCTGTCGTTCTATAACAACAAAGATGCAAAAGTTCAACACTACGCCGCATACTTTGAAATATAATTTTTGTTTGTATCGAAAGCTTGTATTCTATTAATAGTACTTGGAAAGTGCTGCTAGAATCGTGTGGTTAACATGAATTGATAAAAATTCCTTGATCGTATGTATAAAATGTATTTAAAAAATTTTGGTAAGGTTTCATGCGAAACTTTGGAATATTTTTTTCTGTGTCAGGAGAGTAGGATTCTAGCAGCACTTTTCATGGCCCAGTGATGTTTTTACATAATTATTTTCACAAAAAGAAATGAATTATCACCGGGGTAGTGTTGAACTTTTCACTTTTTCATTAAGGCAATTTTTCTATTTATAGACGTCACGTGATGACGTCGTAGTGGAGTGCTTCTTTTAGCCTAAGACTCAATGACGTCTATACAATGGATAATAATAGAAAATGTTTATCTATGGTTTTTCCGATTTATCAATGTTACATTTTACGAAAAAAGTCTAAATTCGGCGAAATATGATCTGGGTACTGCCTTAACATACCTGCGCCATTGAAACAATACAAATTAGGAGCAGAGCAAATACAGATCTCTGAAAACATCAGAGAAGGGATCAGGTGCCACAAAGGAGTAAGCATCCCCGGTCAAACCCATTATCATGATCGGGCAAATCGAAAAATCCAGACAAATCAATGTTTAAATAATGGCCTTACAATTACAAGGAAAAACGTCAGTCAGCATTTGACTTAATGATAAACTATATTTCTAAATTTGCTGAAGCCGTCACGGTAGCTGTGTCGGAAGACGCTCTCACCGTGATCGGAATGTTGAGTGTTCGAATCTCGGCCGCGACTGACCTAAGTCGATAAAACATAGGTAGCAACTGTTCCTTCGCCAGGCGCTCGGCAATTTGAAGTGAAAGTTGCGGGTCCTAAAAACGGAGGCCCCGTGTCATGGTAGGCGTTGGCACGAAAAAGAACCCTCACTGCTCAATGGCCCTGAGTGCTGAGTAAAGGTCTAAATTTAAAGCCCTTCATCGGTATTTGGTGACGTCTCTATATGAAAGAAAAATTTTCTAACGGGACGTAAAACAACATACAATCAATCAATCAATGTATTTGCTGACAAGGTCATTATACTGACCATAGATCTTGCAAAACGATGACTTTATACGAGACTGTTAACATCCCTGTTTCCTCAACTTTTTTGTCAATTCGAGGGGTGATTAAAAAGTTCTTTATATTTACAAAACCACTATTCAGATCAGAATGAAATTTGGCACACATATAGTCATTCATGTGCTCTATAAATACTATATGTTATGTAATGCTTTGCTCCATGTTTGTGACGTCACAATGATGAAATGACATCAATAGGTAGGTTACTTCTGACAAAAAAATGATTGACTCAGTCACATTCGAGCAACGATGATGGACTGTAAAGTTTTATAAGTACCTTGGAAATTCCTTTGTAGTAGCATATATATATTTGAACAGAGTTTATAAAGACATAAGACTTGCCAGGAGTTCAATCATTAATTGGATTTATCATTTAAGTGAAGGAAGGGAGATGGTTAAAATGATGTTTGTTCTGTTGCCCAATGAAAGCAAGCTGGGCAAGAGATGTATTCTTAGTTGGGGATTTTGTTATGAAATACCGCCAAGTTACAGTTAGAAAAACAGTTGAATATCTTAATAATATAATTATCAAATTCCTAAAACATCGTTTACTTTAGACTTTAAACGTATCAGATATGATAAAAAGAAGGCGACCCTACTTTATCCACATTGGATAAACGACGTACCCAAGACAGAGGACTCGGGTTGTGATGGTCACCATGCTCATTTTGGGAAAGGATATCCTTATCCACCCCTCCTATTGCCACGATTTGGCCATTTCTGACAAATGGAGTGTTCTTGTTATAAACAATAACTTGCATTGTAAGAAATATAAGACTAAGGAAAAATCTTTTAGTCCCTGTGAACGGAACTCTTCGGAGCATGTCATGTGACCGCCTATATCACGTGATTCGCGGATGCGCAGAAAGGTGGCAGGTGTGCATTTAAATCGAAGAGGACTACTTTAAATATTAAAATGAACACTGAAACCTAATTTTATTTCTTTTATGGAAGTAATTCAGTTAGTCCCGAACTTTTTGATCACCCCTCGTATATTTACTCCAACACTTTCTCTGCACATCAATTTACATACGGTACCCTGTTTTTGAATATTTCAATAAAACCACTGGAAGCTTTGAAATCATATATAGTAAGCTCTTTTACAAAGTAATTTGTTGTACTTGAAAGTCACAATTATAGTGTTGTGCGTGGTAATAATGCGTATGCGATTTGCAGAATAACAAATAAATAGAACAAGTTCATGTAAACGCTTCTTTACTTCATTTAAGATGATTTATCTGCTGGCAAGAATGCCTTCCAGGGTCCAGCTTATGTTAGCGTTTGGCCACAATTCCATGCTGCTGTCAATGCTGTGGATAGAAATAATAATTCTTGTACGACAACTCGAAAGATAGGTTCTGCGACCCCATACAGGGAATCGTGGTGGATGGTGGATCTAGGAGACATCTACAGTGTGTTCAGAATCAGAATTTTATTTAAAGATTATGGGGAGGACTTCGGTAAATAATAAGGATTTTCGTTTTGTCAAAACAATATTCTGAGCAAGAGAGAATAATATGCACTGCTTTGTGACAGCTGACAAATTTTTCAGCATCAATCAGGCCTTACTTCACTGCTGACTACTCTCAATTTGTAATTATGCTAGTTTTTTCTCGAATGTTTTGTTTTTGTCAGATTAAAGCCTGCTTCAAATATTTATTTTGATGTGCTCATAACATTCTTATATTAATATTTCAGTTTAGAGACAAAAGGGCCAATTTGCAGGGTTTTCTCTGTATTTATCTAACTCCTCCAATAAAGATGAAGGGTATATGTGTTACAAAGACGGACCCAAATTGCCTCCCTTAGACTTCACAACAACCTGTATTGGATATGGCCAATACGTCATCTTTTATAACGAAAGATTAGACAACTACACATATCCTGAGGGATACGAATACGTATCTAGCACTAAATTGTGTGAGGTGATAGTGCACGGTACGTTCATAATTCACATGCGGTTTTTTTTTCATTTCCAGTAAAATCTTACTTCAGAAGGTAATAAAGCTAATGTATATATATACATTAATATAAAACTTAACATTTGCTTATGCTACTCGTACTTTATGAAGATGCACGCTTGAAGGAACGGCAGATTATCCAAGATATTTCTGTTGAACAGCTTGATGTTTTAATACCTTTATTACACCCCCGCTCCAAAGGAAAGGGGTTACACTGTTTTACCCTTGTGTGTCTGTCTGTTTGTGTGTCCGTGTGTCTGTCCGTGCCAAATTTTTGTCGCAGTTTTCCAAGCAACTATTCATCACAAACGATCGAAATTTTAGCAGACGCTTTGTTAAGGCATACTATACGATGGGATTCATTTTTGTTCGAATCTGATGTCAATGTTCTGTTTATATGTGCATCTGTCCGTACCAAATGTCCGTCGCAGTTTTCTAAGCACCTACTCATCGCAGATGCTTAAAATATTAGCACATTCTTTCTTTAGGCATGTCCTATGGTGTGATTCATTTTTGTACGAATTCGACGTCAACATGAGAGGGTTTATTCACATCAGAGCAGGGATATTACTAGTTAACATTCGTTCACAGACTTCTTGTTACGAGGGGTGATCAAAAAGTTCGCAAACTATCTCTATATTTACAAAACCACAATTCAGATCAGAATGAAATTTGGCAAACATATAGTCATACACTTGTTCTATAAATAGCAGATGTTATATAATGTTTTGCTCTGTATTTGTGACGTCACAGTGTAAAAATGACGTCAATTTGTAGGTGACTTGTGACAAAAAATTGGTTGACTCAGTCGCACTCAAGCAACGAACGGCTGTAAAGTTTGAAGTATATCTTGGAAATTCCTTTGCAGTAGAATATGATAATTTGTACAAGATGTATGAAGACAAAAAACTTACCAGAAGTTCAATCATTAATTGTATTGATTGTTTTAGTGAACGCAGGGAGATGGTTAAAAATGATGTTTGTTCTGTTGCCAAGAGAAAGCCGGGGAAAAGAAGTGTTCTTAGTTGAGCACTTTGCTATGATAGATCGCCAAGTTACAATTAGAAAAATATTTGGATATTTTCACAATAATTTAACTATGAAATCCCTCAAATATCGTTTACTTTAGACTTTAAACATATGAGATATGAAAAAAAGAAGGCCCCCTTCTTAGATTATATCCACATTGGATAAACGACGCTCCTGAAACAGACGACTCGTGTTGTGATGGTCACCATGCTAATTCTGGGAAGGGATATACTTATCCACCCATCCTATTGCCGAGATTTGACCATTTCTGACAGATGGATTGTTCCTGTTGCAAAAAATAACTTGCATGGTAAAAAATATGACTCGGAAAAATCTTTTAACTTCTGTGAACAGACCGCTATGGAGCATGTCACATGACCTCCTGGATCACGTGATTCGCGCATGAGTAGAATAATGGCGGACGTGCATTAAAATTGAAGAAGATTACTTTAAAATTAATGAACATTGGAACCTCATTTTATTTCTTGTAAGGAAGTAATTCAATTAGTTCGCGAGCTTTTTGATCAACCCTCGTATATCCTTGGTTAAAAAAAAATCAGATCACGAAGCACGCCCTTTCACAAGGTTACCGTGACCTGTCAAACCCCTTTTAGAAAAAAAACCCCTGAAATCTCACATTAAGAGCGATATAATAAAAATTTATCTCGAATATTGGTCAAACTATTGTACATGTAGTAGCATGTATTTGTAGCACGGTGATGTGAAAATACCTCCCATTTTGTAGTTATATGTAGGAAACATGCTTCTTAGGTTGTAAACTTGGTGTTTTCGGGGAAAAATGCGACAAAGAGTGTTCGAAGGGCTGTCGGGACAACAAATGCAACATCATCACAGGGGCATGTCTAGGATGCAAGACAGGATGGATAGGGAATTACTGCCAAACACATTGTAAGAGTTTAAAATTAAAATAATAATAGTTTGAAGATAATAGAACTTTCTGAAAAAAAGTAAAATGCATTGAAACTATTTTAGGGAAATTTAATTTCTATAGGTAAATGAAGGTGCCTTCATTATACAATTATGGACTTTTTAGAAGGGAGGCGTCACCAAGGGCGAAAACCCTAATCAAAACTGGTGATGTTTCCCTTGTAAACAGTCCATAATTGCTTTATTCTCCTGAAGAATCTAAATCATTAAGAATAGATTATACCAGTCAAATCCCTCGTGTTCTCCTACCAGCTGCCCCCATTCCATTTATTCACAATGTCAACAGACAATTTTCAGGTCAACGTTAAAATTTATTTTTACTTATTCCGCATACAAGTTACATAATATATATATATATATATATATATATATATATATATATATATATATATATATATATATATATATATATATATATATATATATATATATATATATATATATATGAGTTATATCTCTCACGACACTTAATTTATTTTCATCTAAAGGGAAACAACACAGTTGTCACCCTGCGCGTAAGGGAGACATCACGAATCGCCTCCCCACACGTTGCTCTAAACTAGTCAGAATGACTGTACAATTTTGAAGGATAATAATGTTTATTATGAAACTGACCTTAATATTCAGTGAAGTGAGTTGAAAGTTCAATTGAAAAGAGATTCATTTTTATTTTTGAAAAATTAACTCTTTAAGCATGTGACTCTGGATATTATGGTGAATACTGCACAAATAAATGTTCATCCAAATGCATAAGTGAATGTAGTCATGTTGATGGAACCTGTATTTGTTCACATGGACTGAGAGGATCGCCCAACTGTACAACAGGTATACGACATAAACTATCATATGCAATTGTCCTCAAAGCTATAAATCTTACTTTATTATTTTGATTTTCATTTCTCTTTCTTTAACAGAATGTCCATCCGGGTTTTATGGACCGAATTGTGGCCATATTTGTAGTCAACACTGTAAGCTTAATCATACGTGCCACAGAATTAATTGAACATGTCCATGCGGATGCAAAGACACATACAGTGGTCTTAGATGTGATATTCCAAGTAACAATTTATTATTTAATAACATAGTTTATTATATAGCTAATAAATAGTCTATAATGAAAAACTACTAAACTACTAAAAGTCTAGATAATTTTAGCTTTCAATATCTTGACGTTTTATTGAACGCTGAGTTTGTATTACGTGAATGAGTTCCGACATTCCGAATACGAGCGTTCAATATCGAACGCCCCGTTGTAAACAAAAAATGTCGTCTTGTCAACCTATCAAAGGCAAATTTATGAGAAGTAGTGGCAGCTAGGTAAGATGTGTTTATTTTCACACTATTTTTCAGGTCAGACTCTAATTTAAATACTGATACTAAAAAAATCTTATTAATTTGAATTATTTAATTGAAATAATTATCATAAATCAATGGGAGATGTTTTAGCTATATAATAAAAGGGTTTACTTATTGAACATATATTGGTGAATATTGGCAATCATTCGCTGTACAAATGCACTCGCAAGCTCGTGCATTTGTACAGCCAACTCGTGCCAATATTCACCAATTGATATAAGTTCAATCAACCTATAATATTTGACCGTCATCTTTGTTTTAATTTACGCACAATTAACAAACTATTTAACTTTCAAATATTAATTCACCGTAAAAGAAACACGATTAGATCCAGAAACTTACATGACAAAAGAAAAGTACATTAGAAAGGGAAGTGGAGGTCGTGTCCTATAGACATAAAGATAATTCAATGATGCGCATTGACTTCGTTTGAATGGAATGATTGATCTTTCTTTTTGGGAGTCTAGGGTTACATAGTAACACGCACCTTTGCAAATAGAAATGAGATGGCAATATTTCTAGCATTTTTTTTTTTTGACATTTTCTTCAACTAGCAAGGCAAATTATGCTGAAATGGAGATTTTATGAAGCTAGGAAAGAGAATGAAAGACTCCTTGCTTCTAACACCTATATATTGCAACGAATATGTACATAATTCTGTATCTATCATTTTTATTGAAGTACTCCACAAGGCTACTACATTTATAAGTATTTAGAGAATACCTGTTCCACGCGTATTCCAATGAGGCATAATGAGAAAATGTTCTCTTTTTTTCTAATGAAATTGGCATGTTATTATGTAACAATAAAAGGTTTATAGGAAAGCTCAAAATGTTTCTTAAAACGGGGAAATTTTATCGCTTCAATGATCATTAAAACACAACACATGAGATGACATTCAAATATTGATTTACTTTAATTATATATAGTATATAATATAATCCTAAGTACAAATTCACTGTTTTGCAAATCGAATATACGAAAAATCAAATGAATCATCAAAAATAGCACTGCTGGCTGCAATTGTCAAGTCTGGAATTTTCAACGTATTTTGCCTGGTTATCATTGCTGCTTTAAAAAGGTATTACATTTTTGACATTCGTTCACATATGTTATGCGTTTGTGTAACATTAAAAAATGTTTTTGGCTATAGTCTGAACTAAAGGTAAGACAAAATTTCCTAATTAAAGGTGTTTTTTCTGTTAATTTTTAACAATCTTATTGTGTGCACAAGAACTGTGGGACTTTTTTTTGAGAAAGAAAAACAACCTTTTTTTCCAGTTATATTCAGATTAACATTCATGATCTCAAAACTGGATTTTCAAATCACGTGACCTTAGATTTTAAGCAACAATCAACAGTCATTCGTGTTGAGAAATGAGTGCATGGAGACCATTATCTACCAAACAAAATTGTATCTGTTCATTCAAACCATGCAGTCATATATTGATATCGTAAAAAAGTTTTCTTTTAGAACAATCAAGTCATAATAACGTGTAGTGAAATTAGCATAATTATCATGTAGTATAAATTAATTTTGCACAGATACATGTAATAACGCCGGGGCACAGCTAGGGCCTCAGCATTTTTCTTTATATTTCGGATGACAAGAGGAAAGAATTGTTTGAATATTATACGCCTGTAGATCAACAATTTGTCAAATTATTATTGCAGCAAAGTCTAAGAGCTTAAATATATTCTTTTTACAAACTTTGATATATATTTGTAATTGTTCTTTAACAGGCGGTGAAAATACATTTAAAGGTGAAAAACGACCAGTCTAGATCTGCTGCAATGCAAACTAATATATATTCATGCGAGTACACTGTATATCCATGTTGTGTAGGTTTAGATTTATTTCAAGACAACCATGTTCTCTCATACTTTGATGTTTGAAGTTGGATAAAGTAAAGTGGATTAAAATTGTTTAAAATCTTTATTTTTATTCGTCTCGAAAACACAAGGCCTATACTAAAAAAAGAAATGAGAATTTAAGAAAAGATAAATTGAACCACTATATATATCTATGTAATGATTTTACTTGATTTTACATCTGCAAGGGTCTTTTAAATTATTTTAGGAAACAAATTGCAAAGATTTTGAAAGGAAAGAGTGCTGGATCACAAAAATATATTTCAAGAACCGAGCTCCATACAAACCAATTGCTAGCAGATGACATCCACGATTACCAGGAAATAGGGAATCAGAAAATAAAACCCATTATTCCAATCTTCAGCTAAAAACATTATGAAATGGATATTAATTTGAATAAAGGATCAAAACTGAAATTACTCATTTTACAATTGTTGCATATATATTATATTTCATGTTAACTAGGTATCTCTTCGATGTATGGAATCGACATTCTCCTTTATAAATCTAAGTCGAACACTGGTACGAAAAGTATTGCATCTAAGACATCTCTGAAACATATAGAAAACAAGTTTGAAATAAATAAATGTCAAAATACAAACTCTAATGCTTACAAGTTAAACAGTATAGTATCCCTTCAAGCCGGGCTAGCTCACATGTATGTATCATATACTATGTTGTGTTATTACTTATTGATTTCACATTTTACACATTCAAGCTATATTTCAACTAGTTTTGTGTGCTATAAAAAAACTCTTTTTAGAACATTTTCATGGCTTATCTTGAAGAATACTAGTATATCTATCGGGTCGACTGATTTTCACGGCTGAAAAATCTTTTTATATACATAAAATAAATTGTTACTGGCGAGAAATATTCGCGAAAAAAGCTAGGTCGCAAAACTTTAAGAGTAGGATTTTACAATATCTAATGTGGAAACTATATTGTTTATATCTGGCGTCATTATACATGTGTACATGTTAGAAAGAAATTGATGAGAAAAAGCGTCGACATAGGAATTATTAGGTGCTTTAAAGAATTATGCAAAGAATTTCATTATTTTAGTCTGTAATTCAATGTTTGTCGATACTGAAGTATTTTTTTTTTCAAGAATTAAACAAGGTTTCCCAGTGCGTGCAATTTTTCATACATGTATTTTTCTTAGTTCTCCCGTGCTTACAATCAAATAACCGTATCTCTTAAGATTAATAATATACTATATATAGAGAGAGAGGTAATTAAAGATGGCGTCTAGTATTGACATTTAGTTTCGATCGGGAGGGGAAAAAAACGGGGTATGTCTTTATTCCGTGTGTGAAATTTGATAATTCACAGATGCAACACTTCATTTAGTTGTTTTTGATGAAATGATATAAAAAATATTCAGTAAAAACTCCACTGATAAAGTTTAAAACCAAAACATTTTGTGCTGTTGTGTGAGATGAACTCATGTCATTTCAAGTTCCAACAATAGTAGTTATAACAAGAAATCCAAAAATTCCAGGAGAAAACTTACCAGCCCATCAGAAAACCAAAACAAAACATCCTGCAAAAGGTTTTTGTCTGCATCGCTCCCAGATCTAAATTTAGCAAATTCTTCTGGCACCCAGGGCAATATGGACAATTTGGAACCCAATCCTGAATTGACCTCTGTATGTTCAAATTCTTTGACTAATGCACCTATATGTGCATCTGTAAGTGCTTCTGTTAGTGCTAGCCAACCAGAAATTTTAATCTACAACCGCAGAGCCCAGTCCCAGTCCCTTTGCCCAAACCCCCCTTATACAACCTGAGAGGCAAACATACAGTCTACCAGGTCTTATATATTCAGCTATGTGTGATCAAAATATCATGAATCAGCTGATCCCTGTATTGGCCAGTGCTATTGCTCCAACCATTGAAAAGGCTGTTCAATCAGCTTTCCAACAGCTGAACTTGAAAATAACTAAACAAGCTGAGGAGATCAAGCATCTGAAACAACAGCTAAAGGAAGCGGACAAAACAAATGCTAATCTCCAAAATCAAATCTGGGAGTAAGAGACATCAGTAGACGAGTTAGAGCAGTACGGTAAGAGGAACACCCTTAGATTTCATAACTGTTCAGTGCCAACTGTTCAAAATGAAACTGGTAATCACTTGGACACTGATGCCATTGTGATCGATCTGTGCAAATCTAAAATGAACATTGATTTAAAGGAGGACGATATTTCCAGATCCCACTCTATCGGTAAACCCAATGCCAACGGGAACATTCAAATTATTTGCAAATTTAAAAACTGGAAAGTGAAAAACAATGTATATTCAGCGAAACGAAAACTCAAAGGCACGTCCCTATTTGTTACAGAAGGCCTCACGAGG